ATCAATCTGTATCATTATATATCTCATTCATGAAAACCTCATTTAGGTCATCAGTCTTTAAGGCAATTAATGGCTCACTGAAAACCAAATCATACTGGGACTTACGTATTTCACTCATATCTTTGTTGTTCTCGGTGTATGTCGCATACTAGGCCCGATACTAGAAGTTGCTTTTGACCTGGATTTTGCATACGAGATGTATTATGGACTTCTTTCAACTTCGCTTATGGCTTGTAGCTCCCTCTATCTCTCCTGGACTCCGTGTGATGTATTCAGTTTGTGATCAACATTTTCTAATTCTCTAACCAGTATTATTTTTCACATTTTTAGAGAGTCTGCTGTCTTTGAGGAACTCTCTTATTAGGACATAAACAGCCAAACACAAATTCAAACTTTCTACCAAGAAAGACCAGCTTTAAAATTTAAAGCCAAACTGAAAGGGTATTCTGTAGTTACCTCACATAGATCAATATTCCATAATACACTAAATTTGAAGCCACACAGAAGTTTCATAATCAAGTTATCGGGTTGAAGGTTTGAAGCCGGTGAATGAGGAACTCTCGGCTTATTTGATCAAACCTAGTACGTAATTCAATTATCTCAATTTCTTCAATAAAAATGATATTTTGGGACCAACACAGACCAAAATTAGTGCAAACTTTTTTCGAAGGAAGACTGGCCAACGATTAAGGTTTAGTAACTTTTATCTATCCTTTGGATACATAACATTCAAATTTGTTACAATGGCCTTCAGGGCACGAGGATATCACAGATACATAAAAATTACATTATGACGATTTAACTTAGAATAACCCAATAAAATCAAACACTGATTTCTGATCAGGAGAGTTATTCTCCAGTTATTTCATGGAACACAGTTTGTTTAATAAAATAAAGACAAAGATTCCTTGGAGAAAACCACATCAACACAAAAAGCTTAAACCTGACTAGACACTAATCTTCAGCTATTGCACAGAACCCAACAATTTCGAAAATAACTTAATAACAAAAAGGCACAATACCGTGACTGGAACAATACACAAATAACCCGCACATAGAAGAGAGGAGCTAACGACGACGTTTCGGTCCATTTACAATGGTCTAAGTCGGAACGAAACGTCGTCGTTAGCTCCTCTCTTCTATGTGCGGGTTATTTGTGTAACAACAGTTTCAAGTTTATTAATTCAGTTAAAAAAACTGAGAAATTTGTACCTACAAAGCCTAATTTCCCAAAAAAAAAGTTTCATTTGTTTCATAATATAAATCAGCCATTAAAGATTTTAACTATCTAGAGTAAGCATACTCCATATGTTTAATGGAAAATATTTCTATACCATTTCGAAATTAAAATAGCAAAACAGTGCCTACACACTCCACTGGCAGTGCCAGCATTCTTTCAAGTAGGAGACATGAATGTTTAAAGTTTGAATCCGATCGGAATAGACTTTCTAAGGTAATCACATGGAAAGCCAAAATCAGGAATGACTCATATAAATTTAAGCAGATGGCATCTGCACATTGCAATGGTTCCATGAACTTTCCATTTGTGTGTCTGTATGTGTGTGTGTGTGTGTGTGTGTGTGTGTGTGTGTGTGTGTGTGTGTGTGTGTGTGTGTGTGTGTGTGTGTATGATCCTTATTTAATAGATGAAATAAATAAATATTATTTTCCAGAAAATAATTGTTAACGCCCATTTTGATGCCAATAAAATTTTTGATGTAGTTTAGACGCCTGCACGAGCTATGTAATAAATGCTTCGTAAGAAAGATTGTGTATATAGTTGAATCTATAACCAATAACAATATTAGTAAATCGGTTGGCGATACCTGAAATTTTAAAGCCCATCAAAAGAGGATCTTTAAAGCAATGTCCTGGAAATCAATTTTGGGAATGGTCCATATAAAATAGAGCAGAGAGCACCTGCAGAGAGCACCTGCAGAGAGCACCTGCAGAGAGCACCTGCAGAGAGCACCTGCAGAGATCACCTGCAGAGAGCACCTGCAGAGAGCACCTGCAGAGAGCACCTGCGTGTCAATTGTGCTATGAGCCTTTACATAGTAATAACTAAACATGGTTTGAAATTTGCTGGCGACTGGATAAGGAAACTATAGCTAACAGATGAACGGCCCTGGCATCATGCTCACTCAGGAAATTTAAAAAACACTAAATACGCTATTTTACTTTTGCAGTTCTTTAGTTTTAAATTTTTCTACAATCCTCTTATAAACAGAAATTGATTTTGTGATTTTTAAGACAGTGCAGCTGATAAAAAATCAAACGATTTCAAGTTTCAGAAAAATATTTATTTCACTGACCAATTTGCCCACACACGAATTGAATGGGTATTATCCTGGCTGTATGATGCATCAGGCTTTAAATATTGAAGTTATTCAGAAGAGGTAGATGCATATATATTTTGATCGTCACAGTTAAGCAGGTATCAAAATTTCGAAAGTTTTCACATAAAATAGAAATATCTGCACCTACCCATTTGAATTTCATTCTCCTCCGTCGCCGAATTTGGAGACACCTGTTTTTGAACGTGATGCTATGCCACTGAGTGTTTTGGAATTTATGCGAGCCATTACATGATGCTAGGAATGGGTTCAGTAACTTTGGTCATTGGGCACCTGGTCCTCATAACAGTACACAAGCGTTCAAAATTTGAATCCGATCGGATGGTAGGTTCTCCAGTTAAGAGAGAAATAAAACTGAAAAATTAGAAAAAGAGAAAAAAAAAATAGGCATCTACTTAAAGATACCTCTTTTGGAATACCTAATAATCTTATAAGGAGAAACCTCTGACGGTAGGCATCAATCTCCACATGTTACCGATAATACGTATCTTATAATTCTAGCGACATATACAAAATTATTTCACCTAGGAACTGATTTTAGGTAGCTGAAAAATAATTTCAAACTTATAATACAAATTGTGAACGCAATGTATCTTGTAATATGCAGCGCCCATGGACCCACGCTGCTCAAGAAAGTAACAAAGGTCTTGTTGACCAGAGAGGACATGATCATGACATTCAAAATACTTAGATTAGCAAGATCGAATAGGAAATAGCTGAGATGTCAGGAGAGGGAGCTAGGTTACATGGTTTGCTGATAAGAAAACAAAGGAACGCTAGGAAGTGCTTTTTTCGGTCTTGGGATAGTAAGAAGGAACAAGACAAAGGGGTAGTGGACACAACTGTCATAAACTGTTCGAAGAAAAAATTATGATGGGGCACGAGATGTAATTCGGTCGCTGCGCGATCTGATAAAGGTATCCCCGTATTGCATAACCCCAGCCCCCAGTGCCTCAGTGCAAGTGGCTTGAATTGTACACTGTGCTGCATATGCTGATAATGCAGTTAAATATTAGAGTTGAAGATGTGAAAGACTCAGAAGAGGCAGTCACAAGTCATCACAAAAAAATATTCAAATTTCATCAACAATGATCGTAAATTAGGATATTACACAGCCAGAATCTAATTCAAATCTTCCAAAGATATCAGTAATGTCAATATCCTAAAATGCACAGGAATATTTAGCTTGAAGCCGTCCAGAAGTTTCTCTATTCAATTATAAACAAGGAATGGTTGAAAATAATAAAATGTGACATTCTGAAATTATTGCATTACAAGCAGTATTTAAATTTTTCCGGTTTCCAAAAAGAAAAAGAAACTTGAACTTATTCTGTCCAAAATCAGTGTAAACTTTTCTTCAAGTGAGACTGAACGCCTTTTAAGAAAGTAAGTATAGTAAGTAATAAGCTTCATGTAAGCTCAGTGTACGTAACATGCAATTTTTTAACAATGGTATAGACGGCACACAGATTTTATAGACATAAAAGAATACTACGTTGATTTATTCCAGGATAACCAAATAAAGTCAGATACTGTGACTTATTTCTGATCAGAAGAGACATTCTCCAGTTGTTTCACAGAGACCAATTTGATTAATAAAATTAGCACATGATAACTTACATAACCTAACATCACGAGACTGTTTCCTTTGAGCAAAATGCATCAGCACTAAAAATTAAAACTTACCAGATGATGCATGTTCCAGTGTTTGCACAGAATCTAACAAAATTTGCGCCTACACAGCCTTAACATACGAAAACGTTTCATTCTTTTCATATAATGCATCAGCAGTTGAAGATTGATACCGTTCCCCATTGTCGTAGTTTAATTAGAGGAGAGCGCTAAACCCGTAGGGGGTCATATTGCACCTGTATAATAGGAGGCATACAAATTCGATCTAAGCAAAGGGACGATAGCTCCAGTTCCTTGGATCAAGAACCCTCACCAACCCTCACTGAAATTATTTAACATGATTTAACGGGAATAAAAATTTCAGTTTTTTTTTTACATAAACAGTGGTCATATTTACACATGTCAGTTTTACTCTCTGTCCTTATCGAATTTATGGAACCTTGAACGCTTATGGTACGCTAATGAAGATTTTGGAAGCTATTTGAGCCATCACGGTAGAATAGGAATAGGTTCAGCAACTTTGGTCATAGGGCACGTGAACATGTCTCTTCTTCTAAGAATTTGGTCCTCGTTACCGTGCACAAGTTTTGAAAATTTGAAACCGATTAGATGAGGCGTTCCCGAGTTAAGAGAGAAATAAAATCGAAAAGTTGGACGATGAAAAAATAAGGC